TTTTTTTACTACAAGAACCTTATACATGGGTTAGCGACCGATATAGACGCATACATCTCCAATACTCCTACCTATAAATAAATTGGCTCAATAAGATATTGTCCGTACCATCTAACTCAGGATACGAACAATGATTATTTGTTGTTGTGGGGCTTCACTCACGAAACCAATCGTCTGTGGAAAGACGAGGATGGCCTCTGAATTATACTCCGACAATCAAGTTAGCAGATGGTAGAGAGAGTGTTGAGAGAATATGTAAAGAGATAAAGTCTAGAGGGAGGACCAAGGTGTGAAGTGAGGGGGGAGAAGTTGAGTTCCTTCCATCACACTTATAAAAAAGGAAGTTGAGTCCCTTCCTTTGAGGACTTGGAAGCTCTTATATAGCCATAAAGGTTGTTAAGCGTTATGCGGCAACGATTAGGAGTCATGTTAGGCGTCATCGCGGTTGGCGTGTCACTAGTTAAGCGTCGGGGTTCATAGTTTCAGTTGCATTCACAAAGTAATAGAAAATCATCAAGTCCAAGTGAGACATATCCATCCACTCAAGAAGTCAACTATTGGTACCCCACGAGTTGTGCAAATTAATGTATACTAACTAGCGAAGGCTTGAGGTTTTTCCTAGAGAACGATGCATAAGACTGCTAATCAGGGGCGGAGCCAGGATTTGGCCTTTGGGAAAACGATATTCTTTTACTTTATTGTCACAGAACAGCGTTAAAAATAATTCAAACTAATAAATAAAATTACTTTTGATATTACGTTAACTATACTTTTAGAGATGGGTAAGTCATTTAAAATTGGATTTCAACTAAAATTTGTTAGCATGATACAGTTCAATTTAAAATAAGGTCTAAACTAACAATTTACTCATTATCTACTAAAAACGTCATTAGTTTCTAGTTGAAAAAACTTAATTGATCAACCATAAAATAAAATAAAAAACATTATTGGTCTATAGAGCTTGAGTAAAATATACGAAAATATAATTCTGAAACCAAAATTGTCAACATCAGGTTTTGAGCGCATGACCTGCAGGTGATAGAATATATTAGCATCTGCTGGACTATGAGGCTTTTTTGTCTCAATTACGCACATTAATAAAACTTATACTTTATCGCAAATCCGATTTCCGATAGCCGAAATAGAGCTCGGTACCGTGTAATCCGTACTCTCCAGCCATCCTGCCCCTCATAGTAAACTAAACTCAATCCCCTTTGCATTCTCACCCGTTTAATCATCCTTCGTCCACCCAATTAATATCCGAGCTGTGAACACCACCACCATATATGCATCATAATCGAATCCATTAGGAAACCTAGAAGAGATCAATTCAATTTTTTCATTTCGAACGACAAGCAGTGAATGAAAAGGCAGCACACAACCATGCATCCATCCCTTTCTTGGATGAGAGATCGGTTGAATTCAAACTTCCCAAGGCCTTCATCTCCAACTAATTATTCGCCCCTATATTTTGGAGAGAGACGACCGGGAAGTAGGAACGACGGCCAGATGCAGTTGGAGAAGGATGCCGATGAAGGGATTTTGAAGACGCGGCGGCGAGCGATGTTGGAGGATTAGCAATTGAAGAGTTATTTTCGTTGAATTTAAATTGATTAAATAAATCATAAAAAAATTAAATAAAGGACAAGTTAGTAATATTTTTTATTTTTTGTTAGGGCGATAAACAAAACTAGGGCGACGTTTAGCCATCTAGTTCCATAATACTAGGACTGAGATTAGGATTACAATAGAGATACGTTGAAGATTATCTTCACTGGTTTCTTTGCAATACCATGGTACACTAACTTAGAAGGACATACATGTTTTCAGAGCAGGAAGGCTATGAAACAAAAGAGGTCACTTGGTTCTGATTATGGCAACTGCAGAAGAGACGAAAGAAAATGAGAATCTTTATATGCCATCTCTACGTTGTGGTCACTCACTGTTGCTGCGGCATGGCCTCTATATTCTGGAGTCTAAGAGCAAAGGCCCTCTTCTAGGCATCAAGCCCTTCCACTGCAGTCAGGTTCGTCACACACGAAAGAAAATTATTCAGGCCTTCTTTCGTTATACACTACATTGTCACATACTTCATATGCAGCCATACCTATGCGCGTAGTCGGAAGCACAAGGTTGTCCTACTCGCACAATCCCCTACGCTCTACGACATCCATCGACCCACGAACACAACACCTGCTCTGAAGCAACAAATCATTCATCACAAAGAGGCAGTCTCCTATATAGAGGTCTTGACAATGCCTACCCATTTCCTGTTCACACAATAACCTCACTGTCAAGGAAATTTTAGTCTGAACATCACACCACAGTAAAAAAAAATTATCATGTTCATTCCTCATACGATAATAGTACCAATTCCATTATTCTTAGCAATTAACAGTGGAAGATCATCAGGGAACACAACGCAAATGAGATAGTTATCTACAGCTATATGTACAAGGCTGCCATATCTGTCATTCACTAGAAACTTCTAAAGATCCATTTTCTCTATGAAAGTTAATTAGGCAGCTAGCATGCCAATTCCATTTTCCAATACTTAACCAGAAAGAGCAAGAAGAATAACACATACTCCAGAACCACACAACACAACAAGAACAAGATAACCTAAGTTAAAATGATCAGGTTTACATAGGCTTTAGAATCAGTAACCAAGGTGGGATGCAATTCCCTTGCAAACAATTTTGTAGCCAGTAGATGCCCCTAGTAAGAAAGATGACAGACATCAGAAGCAACTACAATGAATTTAAACTCTCTGAAGCATTACAACATTAATACTAAAACGATATGAAGATTGTTTAATTTGATATATTGTATCAACCGGGATCCATGCATTCAAGTGCTAGAATAGTAGAGTATGGGTTAAACTCTGTAGCACTAATGAAAACCAACAAATTCCTTAGTGATAATATAAAACACAAGTCTTACATCTTTTGAAGTCATTTCTCCTCAAAAAGGTCCCAACTATTACTAACACGGTGGGGAGACAAACTTTGTTTCCAACTCATCCAAATCCTAGAATCAAGCATCCAAAACGATAGTTATGCAAATTCGACACTAACAGGACAGAACGGAATATGAAACTGAACTGGACATACGTATGTGATTTAGCAATAACATTTAGCTTGAGTGCTTACAGATTTTTGTATATTCTTTAAACCATGATTCATCCCTTTTGAAATACAAATACTCCTATGCGTTCATTAACTCAGAAATCATCTCATATGCAACATAAATTTAAAATTTATTCTTCAACTGGAAACTCACCCCTGTCCCTAGCCAGTCCAGTTTACCAGTTTCCTTCCGGTTTGGACCGTCCCCTGCCGTCCTCTGCCTCTGATTCACCTTTTGCAAGGGAATTAGAAGACTAGGTGCACAAAATAGGTTATAAGCTAGCATTCATATGGTCGAAACTGAGATTACAAAATAGAAACCCACCAATACCGTGTTTGATTCATCGAAGGTCGTGCTTCATCGATCCAGGTTTGCCCTATTATCCATGGGTAGAGGCCGTTGTCTCATCGTCATTAATCTAGGCCTCCTTTCCGTCCGTTCGCTGCCGAAAAGAAAAGGGAGGAGGATGGACAGGGTGATTAGCTAGCATTCATATGGCCAAAACTCAGATTTCAAAATAGAAACCCACCATTAGCGTGTTTGATTAATAGAAGGGTGTCGCTTCGTCGATACGGGTCTTTACCTATTATACCCTGGTTGAGGCCACTGTTTCGTCGTCCTCAATCTAGGCCTCCTTTACCTCCGTTTGCCGCCGAGAAGAAGAAAAACGGAGGATGGAAAGACTGAGGGCGGAGGCGGCGGCCGTGATTAAGCCACCACTGTCCATCTCCCCTTCCCCAGCTACGTTTAGTTCTCTGCTTCAAATACAAAGAAGATGGAAAAGATAGCCGGGCGCTAGGAACCGATGGCGGCAGCTAGGGCTGCCATTTGTGAGAACGAACGACAGAAGGACGGGAAGGATTAGAGCTTGAGAGAGATGGGCAGACGATTTCTAGTGGAGATTCTTCGTCGGAGATAGATCTACGAAGCAGAAACGAGAGGGGAGGGGAAGGGTCGGGAGGATAGAAATCTGGGTTCATAATAATGAATGAGTTAATTTCATCTGCGTAACTCAAAGGAATGTATTTGATACTAATGACGATTGCAAAAATGACATTGAATTTAACTTGAGACGCCAATCAACCAAATATCGACATGATATAAATTGTGGATCTTAGAAAGAATTATCGAAAGAAAAGGTATTGGAATATAAAAACATTGATAAAAATTGTTGAAGGACTATATAGTACGTATAAAATTTTAATGAGTGTCATTAGTAATTATAATTATTAATAAACAAATAATTTATCTAAATAAATATGGATCGTCTGATTAGATCTATGGTGATGGAGTCTGGAGTATAGTATATGCCTGGAGCATACGAGTCGTTCCCATATATATATATATATATATATTTATTTATTTGCTTCTCAAGTGACATTTATTCAACCAATTGCCACAACAAGTTTGAAGAGACCATTTTCATTCCTGAAATATATAAAAAATTATCTTATAAAACAAATAAACGATGTGCCACATATAGGTAAAGATTTGTGTGTTACTTTAAGGAATGTGTTCTAGAGTGTTTCATAATATGAAATCTCGTTGTTGTTCGTTGTAAGTGGTGTTCGTCGAATTGTAATGATGTAATTGTATGAATCTTGACTCTTGAGTACTATATTGTTGACTTTTTATTTTGTTAAAAAAGTATGTAATTGTATGAATCTTGACTCTTGAGTACTATATTGTTGACTTTTTTATTTTGTTTAAAAGTGGACTTTTTTATTGCATAGTTAAATTTTGTATAAAAAATTGTGTAATTGATTTTTTATGATTATGTCAATAAATACCCCCTTGATCAATTTCTTGGCTCTGCCACAGTTTGTCGAGTAGGGTCTTTAGTGATATAAAAAATGAAAAATGAAATGGATACTAAATGTGTTATTATATTCTCATGTTGAGATATAAAACATTGAATTTCTACATATTTCAATAAACAGAGATTGTGAAATAATTAAAAGACTTGCTATTTTTTTGTACGGTTTGTCGGTTTCACTTGTCCCAACTTACTTTATGTTGGACAACCAACGTGCATATGTACAATACCGGAAGTTTGACGAACAAAGTGAAACACTCTAGAACACATTCCTTATCAATGTATGTGAAGTATGGACGTTTTACAACAAAGTGAAATTCTATGTAATTTAGAGGCCAAAATGTCATGGTACATCAAACCGTACCGGAGACCGTATCGGAAAAGTCAGCGGTAGGATATTTTATGTCAAAATCGTGGTTTAACCGTAGTTCAACCATTAGTATCGTTAAATACTGTCTATCGGTTTAGCCTCCGATACTGGTATTTTGTGGTTGACCGCCAATACGGTACAATTTCATGGACCATGCAAAATGTACACAAATTTTGTAGTGGAACCACCTAAGTAAAACAATCATCTTCCATAGAAATAATGGGAAAAAGTTCATCCTCAAAACCACAAAGTTTCGAAATAGTTTATGCATCATCTAACAAAGTTTTGATTCATCTTTTTTGCTCTTTCAACTTTTTGAATGGAATATTTCAACTCTTTTTGAATGTTTATCCTTGAAGGTGATAGTACAATGTCTTTCCAGATCGAACCAGCAGCACAAGCTGGATTTGGAACGGGGTAGAGTTGATATATTGAGTCTGCATCCTCATTCAATTTGCCCACTCGTTTTAAGCAATCAATCTCATCTGGATCAACCAATAGAGTTTTGTCCCTCTCTTTCCATCCTATCAACTTCATAGCCATTTGTTGAGTTAGCAAACTGATATGCATATATTAGATAGGTGTTTATAAGATAATAAACAATATTAAAGAGAAACAAAAACAGAAAGTGAAGGAGAAAAACATTGCCCGAGGGTGAGGGGTAGCAAACTGATAAATTATCCAACAAATAAATGAGATTTAAGATACTTCGGATGCATACCAATGGACTCGGGTTTTATGAATAGGTTGATTTTGCCAAGTTGTGGATTTTATTTTAGGGCTTCCCTAGTTTTGGGTCTGCATGAGTATAAATTCTGGAAAATAAGGTTTCAAATTTTGAAGCTATGATCACTAATATAAATGACCTATGTTTTCATCTGTTTATCCTAATCGCACCCATATTAGAGTTATATTATGTACCACATAATATAGTTCGATTAATAATTTAAAAATGACAAGAAGAAGAAATTGTATAAAAGAAGGGATGGTCTCTTGTACCTTCGGTGACCCTTCTAATGCATTGGTGCAATATAGTCTGGCGTTGTCAACCAATTGGCAATAAGTTAAAAAAGCATTAGCAAATCTTTTGTGTGATCTGAGTTGTGACCTAACCCTAACAGCTCTTCTGCACATTATGGCTCTCCTGTAAAAAAAAAAAAAAAAAATCAAATGAGTATTTATGAAATGTTTTACTTTGAGATGTTTTATGGATTAAGAAATTCAAATGGTTGTGATTATAGTTTTATAATTCTCAGCTTAATTATTACCGTATGCCTCTAACAACAGCAAGGTAAGCCTCACAAACAACCCCAACTAGTTCTATTCTGTATGGCTTTCTCTTCTTGTTTCCTTCTTCAAGTGGTTGTTCTTCTTCAATTTGCTCCCAGTAATTCTCAGTCACAGCTCCATCATCTGCAACTCTATAACCGGCTCCCATCCGGTAACGCCTTCGATGGACATTTCTTGCCATTGTTATTGTCTGCACCACAAAGGGCAACCAAGAGAGTGTACCATCCATGATCACATCTCGCCCGTCGTTAAGTGCTGTCACCAATAGAGAAGATGCTGCATCTGTGGATGATTGGTGCACCTATTATTGATTTGTATAGTGGCGAGTGAGTTTCATATAAGAGAAAAAAACCCAAAGGAAAACCATATAGTTTTGCAATGTTGATAGAGATATTGATAAGCAGGATATCCAGGGGGACTGATATCAATATAAAAAAGAGAGTCTCACAAGCTCTGCTGTTTGGATCATGTCAACATGTCCCCTGGAGCTCAAGGCTTTAAAGATGACATCTGATTCTTTGAAAGCATCCGCCTCAATAACTACTGCATTTGCTGATGCTCCAGCCCAAAATGGTCTGCTCGTAAACAAGACCATGTCATTTACCAATTTAGAACCTTATGTCTTCTATCACATGACATTACATTTTTTTTATTTGTAGTAGGGTTATAGGTATAATATGCCCCTCTACTATGACGTTCTATCAAACATGCCCCTCTACTATTTTTTACATCAAACATGCCCCTCTACTTTGAAAAAATTTATCAAACATGTCCTTCTGTTAAAATTTTGATTGAAAAAATCATCAATCATGGTTGAACCGATATTTAGACGACCCGACATCGGCAAATGAGAGGAAAATGATAGTTTTGTCCCTCGTTGTATTCCTCTAGGTCTCTTCAAAGTGAAATTATTTGAGTTATTTGGCTATGCAAAAGAACAAATATAAATCCTAAAGGGAAATTATTAGGGATATTTTAGACATCTGTGTCGCCCAAACCAAAGTTCGGCCTTGGTTAATGGTTTTTGGATGAAAATTTTAACAAAAGGGCATGTTTGATCATTTTTACAAAGTACAGGGGCATGTTTGATGTAAAAAAAAATAGTAGATGACCATATTTGATAAAACGTCATAGTATAAGAGCATATTATACCTATAACCCAATAATCTTAAATTTCCCTTACTCTTTAAGGATATCTTTGAGGACAGTGCTTTTCCCAGCTCCCATGCCTCCACCCATGAGCAAGAGGACTGGACTCCTGTTGGAATGCGCCACTGGTTCCATGACCTCCGTACATGAATCATCATTGGATGCTAAACCCATTGCTTTCATTTCCTCTACCAGTGTATTGAAAACCCTAGCCACCTTGAGATCTTTTGTCACCCTCTCAAACCTTTGCTCTCTATTGACAAACCATATGGAAAATACCACAATAAATATGAGCTTACATAAAATGTTTTTTTTCCCAATATGATTGGAATAATATATTCGTCTTAAATTTGGATACACAAAAAGTTCAAAGTCAAGGTTCCTATGCGTAGGAGTAGAGTAGTGTGAAGCAATATGTGTATACCTAGTGGCAGCCATGACAATATGCTTGAATTTCTTCTTGGGCTCTGCATCAGCACTCAACACCTAACAAAAATAGAAGCAAATAAAAGTTGGAAACAAGAAATTCATTTGGCTAAGGTGTTCCAAAAGAGTACAAGTATGTAGTCAAAAGCGAGTTTCTACGTAGAAACGTTTTGGTGATCTAGAAGCGTAAAATCGTAAGTTTTAAAGCGGAGTTTTTAACTACATAAGTTATAAAAACTGAGATTTTGTGTAGAAGCGTTTAGTGACCTAGAAACGTAAAATCGTAAGTTTTTAAGTTTTGAAACGCGATTTTGACTACATTGAGTACAACAACGATGATATGATGATAATAATGATAATAATAATAATAATAATAATGTTACCTGACTAATGATGAGATCAGCATGGCTCCAATGGAACGCAAAGTAACTAAGGATGCATCGCTCCAACTCCTCTACTAGCTTCACAAACAAGGAATCTGCATCAAGCTCCTCTGCGAAGAAAGTAAAGACATCTTCCTCGCATGTCTCTGTCTTTCTTATGTACTCCGCAGCTAGTTTGCACAAATGCGGACATTGTCTCTTATCTGCAAATCCCATTTGCCTTGCTGCAACGTATTAATTATATTTATCTCTTAGATTGAGAAAATTACAATCTTGAAATGATTCAATCATAATACTTACATATTTATTTCCATTAACTACCCTTTATTCTCATCATCATTACCTACATAGTGCGAAAATCTTTCGAGCTTCTCGGTGCGGCGTCCAGATTGCGAAGGCCTCAACCGCGGTATTATCCTCCGATCTCGTAGCTTTTGATATCGGTAATGCACTATGATTATAACTATTAATCCCATGAACGAGGCGATAACAACCTATGATAGGGGAAATTTATCAGGTTAACATGAGATCCACTTTTCCTTCCTAGTAGAGGAGTTATGTGGAAAAAAAATTATATGATGGGATCTTGTTTAATTACCTGATGGAATGTGTCAAAAGTATTCCAGAGGAGAAAGGTTTTAGAGTGATCATTGAATGCTAGGATGGAGACAAGGAATGAATTCGCCATTATTATTGCTTCATTAGCAATTCTTGATTATTTTGATTGCTAATTAGTATATATTAATTTGGATGAGAAAGGAAGAGGAAGAAGGAGATGAATATTAGTTGAGAAGAGATAATAAACTTTCTTTGTTGTCTTGGCCTCTGCCTTCATCTCCATGGATCTAGAGAATTGAGTTTGTGACACTTGTAAGTAAGCCATATATTGTCTTTATGCAATTTGTGTATATTACCATCCATGGTATTTCAGCAAATGTGTAATTATTTTTCGACCAAATCATATAATATATATTCATCTAAATACTTATCATGCAATATACAATATGTATGCATATAGTGTGATGGTGAACACTAAATTATCGTTAATGAGTGGTATGGTACATATAAATTCATGAGCAATACACAAGTGGTCAAATTCCAATAAAATACATGTTGTGATGGCTAAGTAACTCAATCTAAATACAAAAAAAAAAAAACACCTCAGTATATTGGGGAAAAAAACATCTCTATCACACCCAATAAGATGGAAGAGGAACAAATGAAGTCATTCGAGATTTCACCAACCAGTTGAGAAACTGTTGGAATATGTTGCAAATTACGATGCCCATCAATCACCAGTTATCACACGTAATGAAAGTCAAGGTTAAGGTGCATAATGCAGGATGAAATGCAAGATTTGTAAAAAAAAAAAAGGTTCCCTTCAGCTTAATTCTCTCTCTACCACTCAGCCTTAGCACCCAGCACTACATACTCCCTATATATAGGCGGCCAGAAATCCAGACAAGTTTGCTGCCTACACACTAGAATTCGCGAACCTGCAGTGCCACTCTAAGCCATGATATGCAAAGACCGCTTTTATGGGTTGTGTTTAGGGATGACAATCAAATTAATGATTGTGGGTACCTGACTGTTTCCGACCCAGACAATGCGGAGAATTCCTGCATTGACTGGGTATGGGGCGGGTATGGGTATGGGTAAAACTCGCAAAACGTGTGATGCGTATGGGGCGGGTATGATTTTAGTCTCCCCCGCCCTATAGCCATACCCATACCCATACTCATATCTGCCCGGCCAAGACCATTTCTCCATATATAAAAACACTTGGATCAAATTGTGATATATCAATGATAGTGAGGATAACTAAAAAAAATAAATAGTAGAAATCAGCGGCGGATCTAGAACACAGAGAAGCATTGAGCCGCATTTCATTAGAAAATTAGAACCGTAAAAAATAATGATTATAGTTTTTTTTCAATTTAAATTGTACCCTATAGTATTTTAGTTTAGAGAATGCATCAATAATTGGGGTCTATAGAGCAATCGGCGAGGAATTCATCGTTCATTTTGTTGAGCAAATCAGTTCTCGCATGTTTCATTGTTGAAAAGGTTCTCTTCGTAGTAGTTGTTGAAACGAGCAACATCAACACTAGACAAATCAATCGATTAATCAATTTGCATTGTGGTCCATCCCTGCATCCACCAGCTGCTCTAGTAAATTTTTAAGGGAACAAACCTCATATTTCTCTTAGTCTTTTTCATTTTAAACTTTTAGAATTTTAGGTTTCATTATTTTTTTTAGACGCATAATCTTTGGGGCTGAAATTTCTAGGCTAAATTTAGAGTAGTGATTTGAATATGTTCATCTGAATCATTATTCTAGTTATACCCAATCGTATTATAAAATAAAACTGGACCGAATGCCTAAAATCGAAAAATTCGTAACGACTATACTAACTACGGATCCACAGGAGGGCTGGGTCGGGGCCCGAGGTGGCCACCCCCTGGATCCGCCACAGGTAGAAATGCAATTGAGTGGCCACCCAAATCAAAACCTAACTTTTTTTCATGAACTCTCCCTTCACTATTTCACTTTTTTCTTCGCGTTAACAAGATTATGTTAGTTATTTATTACTAAGAAGATGTATCAGAGTCAGAGAATAATGCTTTGGAGTATATTGTACTATATCTCGTGGATTAATGAATGTTTTAGGATAAGATGCTTTGAACCGTATAAAGAATGATTGTCTCTTTGTCAACTTTATGATATAGTAGGTGAATTTAGTGGTATAATTGAAAATTTACAGGTAAAATTTTAGGTATTATAATGTCGGATGTACGGGGCGGGTATTACCCAAGAGATACCGAAACCCACGAGTATGGGGATGGGTTTGTAAAACCTTCTCCCGCATGGGTATGGGGCGGGTATGGGTATGGATATTTGAATGCAAGGATGGGGATGGTTTAGGCAAACCCGCCCCATTGTCATCCCTTGTGCTGCAGGCTGCAAGTGGTTTCGCAGGCTAGGGATCGTAGACGCAATCTTAGTCCTGGCTCAAATACAAAGGGCCACAAAATTGACTATGACATCTTTTGCTTCTCTCTTGTGTTTCCTCTTCGAGTTTGAGGCATAGCGATTAGAGATTGCAGTCGTGAAGCGATGTCTGTGTTCTATGTCTATGATCTCTTCATGGCCTTGAATTTTTTCCTTAGACTGCATTATGGGAATTGGCTTTTTGCCTCTTTTCCTACACATTAGCCCTCCTTCTTCACCTTTTACTCTTGTAACATCAAATGTGACCTAAAAAGACATTAAGCAAATCATTCTAGGCTACAAAATAGATTTGATTAACCCCGTCATGATTAATATGATATGAAAACACCTAATAAATGGAAGGAAAATACACCAATTTAGGTGTTATCAAATTCCCTCACACTTAGGTGTTTGCTTGTCCCCAAGCAAACATGTGACTAAAACGTGCAACTCAAAGTCCCCTCCTCCCATGGATGTGTTTCTTAGAAGACGGGTAACTAGTGCCTAGAGATGTTTAGTCTTCTATACTAATGCTTGACTCATTCGGTAGATCATGATACAAATGTTTTAAAATGAGTGGCAATTGGCATAAGGCGCAAAACAAGACTCTCAATTCCTCTCATTTGCCCACAACTCTAGATCAGTAATGCTAACAACTTAAATTTAAAATAATTAAAAAGGATACTAAAAATACGGATTTCCCAATTAGTGTAGGTAAAGAGATCGTATGCTTTTTATGCTAATATTTTACACTTTCATCACAATATATATACTATTTTTGTGATTTACTATCTTTGAGGTTGTAGCAATTTAACTTTTGTTTTTTCTGTCTCATCAGACCGAGCAAGTAGGGGAGTCGCAACATTGCATTTTTTCCACCTACCTATACCTCAGCCTCATATGGAGGGGCCACAGTATGAGGATTGACCAAACTTCAAATGCTAGTGAGCCACAAATGTTTGTACCTTGTGCCAAGAACAAGGTACAAACATTTAATTTAATTTAAATTAAATATGGTTGTGAGAAAGTATAAAATCGAGATTCTTTTGATAGACCTACACCCAAGAATCAAGGTTTGCACACCTACAAACATATCACTTCTAACATTGATTGATCAATCTAACCACAAAATTTCAAAGAATCAAGCAATTACTTCGTTCTAGACATCTCACGCAGAACGCTCCTCAACATTGGTCGAGAAAGAGATGCAGGGTTCATCAATTCAAAGCAAGTAGCCACATTATAAGCTACAAGGCTTGCTTGGAACCCTCAAAGTTTGAAAATTTTGGAGCATAATACAAGGTTCCGAGTAAGGTTCTATCATGCCATTCAACAATCACACAACCATTCAACCAATCAAATTCCCACATACAATCTCACAAATGTCTAACATCACAGGGAAGTAATCATCGACTAAGCATCATTCATGAACTTTAAGAAGTTAAAAGTGCAACACCCTAGTCTGTAAAACCTTGAAACAATGGTTTGCTCCGGAACATGCTCAAAATTTTTAACAGAAAAGGAATGACTTGTTTAAATAAACTGAAATAACACTGTTCTCAAATCATAAATACCGAACGTGAACTGCCATAACTTAAAACAAAAGCCCTAACATTTGAGAAAATTTTAAACCATAAAATCTTAATCTCCAGGCTTACTCATAAACATAAAGCATAATAACTAAAAGCCTACGTGGCTTCTTACTCAAATCATATCTCCGAGATCTTCAGTGACGCTCGTGTTGTCCTCCTTTAGCTGGATGCTTTCTAGTTGGTTGCTCTCCAAATGGCTTCTCCCCTAGTCCTTCTCAACGACCTGGTGCATGGGTTGGCGCCATTACTAAAAACCTCAAAGTACTTAAAGGGGTTTCACTGAAAGTTCTCCTTAATATTGTGGAAGTTGTTACGTGTTATTACTTCCACCCTTTAACTTAAACACTCAAAATAAGGGAGTTGATGTTACGCCCCACTCTTAAAAACTTAAACCTTAGACTAACTGAGGAATCTCTCACTACCTAGTCCAACCGTCCAACTCATATGCATGAAGGATTACGTAGACATGCCCGTATCCTTATATTTACAGAGGTCTTATTGATTCATCCCAAAAATCTTAAGAGCATTATGTGGCCTTTCTTTAAACCTTAACTAGGGTGGGGGACTAGCATTACTGAACTATCACTTAACCTTCTCACCTTAATTTTATATAGCGATGAAGTACTACTAATACTTGTTCTTAAAGTTCACGAATACTTTAATAGTAAGACATAAATTTAACTGCTTTAAACTAAATATTGAAAGGTCATAAAAAATTTTAATATGTCCACCTCAAACCTAAAATTTTGATCTTAAATAATTCAAAATATTAATAAATGTTGTAACCGTAAATCAAAACCATAAAATAATCCCTTTTCCTTATTAAAATAAATCATAACTCAATTTTAATACCTCGTTACGAACCCTTCAATTTCCTGATCGTAATTTATAACGTCAATCTATAATCCTAATTATGTACAAAATTATTAAACCAACCAAAATCCCTCATATAACGTTTTATTTAAATAAAAATGGAAAAGAAAAGGAGCTTTGGGAGAATTCTCTCTTCTCTCTCTTCTTATCGCGTTTCCCCTGAACCCTCGTTTTTGCGATGGCGGAGTCGCCGCCAGGCGCAGCGCTGGCCGCCGCGCCGGTTAGCTGGGCCTCCCTTTTTGAGGTGGATCCGGCAAATAAGATGACGTATCGCCCTCCCCAGAAGATGAATGATGGATTTCGTCTTCCTCGTGAAGTGAAGAAGCGGGGAGAGGAGAGGTGGAAGGACTGTCTTATAGCTCAGTTCGTTGGGTCAGTTCCAAAACCGGCAGCTCTACAGCAATGGGCTACCAGTCTGTGGGGGAGAGATGGAGTGGTCCGTGTCTCCAAATTTGGTCCGCGATTGATGGTGTTTCAGTTTCCTTCGGCAGCAACTGGTAAGTGGGTATTCAAGTCAGGACCGTGGCACTTCCAAGGCAATCCGGTTTATTTTCGGAAATGGTTTCCTGGGATTCAACCTGTTACTCCTGCAATCGAAACTCCACCGATTTGGGTTAAATTGTGGGGAATTCCATTAGAATATCACTCATTTGAGGGGCATGAATGGATTGCAAGCACTATAGGGGCACCTCTCTGGATGGACCATACCACAAGGGTTGGTGCTCAATTGGGTTATGCAAAAGTTTGTGTTGATTTAGCTGCTGATTGTGGATTTCCGGGAAAAGTTCGACTTTACCCTGATGATGATCCCTCTTTTGAAATTGAAATTGAGTATCTGAATAAACCATTGGTGTGTGATAGATGTGGGATTTATGGGCATGATTGTGATTGGTTAGCTAAGAGTGGTAAGAAGTGGATTCCTAAAGCTAAGGTTACAAAAGAGAATACTGAAGCTGTGCTTATATCAGGGGTTGACAAAGTTGTGGATGGTAAGGATAAAGGGAAGGGAGTTGATCTTGGTTCTGAGATGGTAATTTCTGTTGGGTCTGCAGCAGAAGGCAGCTCTCAATCTGGTAATGGTTTGATATTGGTTGGTTCTGGGGCAGCAATTGAAGGCAATTCAAATCTCACTTCTCCAGTTGTAGGGGGTCCAGTGGGAAGTTTTGTTGCAGCGGTAAAGGGATCATCAGCTCCTTCTGAGAGTTCTGTTTCCACTCAATCTTCACCTGAGGGGAGGTTGGACAATCAGATAACTCCTGCTAGAAACGAGGTAAATCCATGGATTACTGTCATTGGAAATTCTGCAAAGAAAAAACCTCCTGTTCCTCCTGCTAAGAAAGGGGGAAAGGGTGGAAAGAAGAAATGAAAGTGCTATCTTGGAATACCAGGGGATTTAAAGACCCTGGTAAGAATAAAGCTGTTCAACAGCTAATAAGTAGACACAATATAGATATAGTGGGTATATTAGAGCCAAGAATTAAAGCAGTTGAGTCAGATGCTATTATTAGTAAAAGATTTCCTGGTTGGGAGAAGAAAGTAACATGTAATGTAAATGGGTTGGGGAAGCTATGGATTTTATGGAAGCAGGATGTCCAATTGAGGATTCTTGATAACTCAGATCAGTTTGTTCACGTTTTGGTCAGTTCAGGGAGGCCTTTTTTCTTAACTTTTGTTTATGCCTCTAATGATGAAGAGGACAGAAGGAGGTTATATAGTGATTTGGTCAAGTTGAGAGTTGGACAAGTGCCTTGGATTATATTGGGGGATTATAATGCAATCAATGGCCCTGAAGAAGCCTCAAACAATCCAGCCCCTAACAGCAGCATGGAGGATTTCAGAAACTGGCAGAATATGACTGAGATTGTGGAACATAAAGCATCAGGTCCATGGTTTACATGGATAAACAAGCAGCTGAATAATCCTATTGCTAGGAGGCTTGATAGAGCCTTCATTAATCTGAGCTGGCTAGATGGGATGAAAAATAGTGTGGTTGATATTTTAGATCCTTCCGTGTCTGATCACTGTCCTGTTCTCCTAAACACTGATAGTCAGATCAAGTCTCTTCCTAAACCATTCAAATTCTTTAAGTTTTGGATTTCACATCCTAAATTCTATGATCTTGTTAAGGAAGCTTGGGAGACTGAAGTGACAGGTTCTCCTCTGAGTAGGGTGTGTAAGAAATTAAGAGTTCTCAAGAAGTTACTCAGGGAATTAAACAAGGAAGAATATTCAGACCTAAGGGAGAGGGTAAGGATAAAGGAAAAGGAATTGCAGAATGCTCAGGCTACTGCTCTTGCTGATCCATCTTCTGAATCTTTTGCTTTAGTAAAGGAGAAGGAAGGAGATTTGAAAACTATTAAGGGTGCTGAAGAATCTTTTCTCAGACAGAAATCCAGGGAAATCTGGCTCAAGGAGGGGGATTCAAACTCCTAATACTTTCATCGATCAGTTAAAATAAGAAATCAGAGAAACACAATTAGATCACTTATCAATGAATCTGGAGAAAGGGTGGTGGATACCAAAAGTATGAGTGAGATTGCCTTGAAATTTTATCAGAATTTTCTTGGCAAGGTTGATCCAATTGTGAAAGAAGAATCAGTGGTTTTCTTTAAGAGTTTGTTGCAAAAAAACTCTCCCAAGTGGTCTCTCAAATGAACTGTGTAGACCAGTTACTGCTGATGAGGTAAAGAAGATTATAGTTGGTTTTAAAGGGGAGAAAAGTCCTGGTCCTGATGGTTATTCAGCCTGCTTCTTTCAAGCTGCTTGGAGTTTAATTGGGGAGGAAATCACTGTTGCCATTCAACATTGCTTCTCTGTTGCTGAGATTCCATTAGAGGTAAATTCTACTCTCTTAGCTTTATTGCCTAAGACTAAGAATCCAGAAGATATGAAAAATTTCAGACCTATCTCTTGCTGTAATATTTTATACAAGTGTATAGCAAAGATAGTGTCTACTCGTCTTAGTGAATGTCTACCTCATTTGATAAGTGAAAACCAAACAGCCTTTGTTAAGGGAAGGGTTATAGGGGAGAATATTTTGCTGGCTCATGAAATGGTACAGAAATATGGTAGGAAGAACATGTCTTCTAGGTGTATGGTGAAGGTGGACTTAATGAAGGCATTTGACTCAGTGGATTGGCAGTTTCTGCTAACTGTTTTAGAGGAAATGAATATCCCTTTAAACTTCATTAGTTGGATAAAAATGGGCTTCACCACACCAAAAATCAGTGTTGGGTTTAATGGGGGATGGTTGGATATTTCTCAGCAAAAAAGGGATTGAGACAAGGAGATCCACTCTCTCCTTATCTATTTGTTGTGGCCATGGAAATCTTTAGCTGTTTAATGAAAAGAGCTGTGAAGGACAAGAGAATGCCTTTTCACCCAATGTACAAACGAATAGGTTTAACCCATCTAATGTTTGCTGATGATTTACTGATTTTCTCTGATGGCACAAACTATGGTATTCACTGTATACAAGAGGTTCTTCAAGAGTTCAGGTTGCTTTCAGGATTGGCTTCAAACCCAGCAAAGTGTGAGATTTATTGTTGTGGTTTACCTAAGGACTGGCAGGAGAGCTTGGCTGCTAGAGCTGGTTATAGATTAGGGACACTTCCAGTGAGGTATTTAGGGATCCCACTTATTCCTAGTAAGTTGACTATAAAAGCTTGTCAACCTTTAATTGACAAAATTACCAAGAGGATCCAGAACTGGGGGGTGAAAACTCTGAGCTATGCAGGTAGGCTACAACTTGTGCTCTCAGTTTTGTACAACATGGTGCAATTTTGGATGGCAGTATTCATTCTGCCTAAGAAAGTGATAGTGGCAATTGAAAAACTGTGTAGTGATTTTTTGTGGGGAGTTGGCCAGGAAGGAAAGAAAAAAGCAGTTGCAGCTTGGGGGCGGTTGACTTTTCCCAAAAAAAGAGGGTGGACTTGGGTTAAGGGATTTGAAAAGCTGGAATCTGGCCTGTGTAGTGAGGCATATTTGGGATCTACTAACTAAGCAAGGCTCCCTATGGGTTGCCTGGATATGGGAGTATAGACTCCATGGAGTTGATTTATGGGCATCTACTTGTAAAACAGGGTCCTGGATTTGGCTGAAGGTACTCAAAACAAGAGACTCAATCAGGCAAAAGCTTTCTGTTATTGATGGAGAAGGTTACTGGCAGGGGAAGCACCTGAAGAAATTCTCAACAAAATTGATCTGGGAAGATCTCAGACCTCATAATTCTGTGGTTTCTTGGTTTAAACTGATCTGGAAGCCTCCTAGTATTCCAAGAAACCAGTTTATTAGCTGGTTTATTATAAATCAGTTCATCACCACCAGTGATAAAATGATTGGATGGGGCTTTCAGGGGGTCACTGCTTGTGTTTACTGTGATTGCAGAATTGAGACTCATGACCATTTATTTGCAGAGTGCTGTAGGTACAAGGGACTATTCAAGAAACTGTTTTCCAGATTCAGCAACAGAGAACCCTCAAACTTATGGTCAACAGAACTAGATTGGGCTGTTGCATCTTTCTCAAAAGTTGAATTAAAGGCTGGAAGATTGATCTGGCAGGCTATGATAAGTAATATTTGGAGGATTCGTTGTTCTGTTAGATTTGGAGGGAAAGGATTAATTCTCAATGAAGCTGAAGAATTGATTAAGGATGAAGTAAGGGTGGTATGTGAAGAAGTGGATGTGGAAGCTTTCTTTTAAGTGCATCTGGGTTTTTGGTTTGCTGCTATTAAGTCTTGGCTCGTTATAGGTTTGGTATAGGATTTATTTGACTTGTTGCATTTTTCCTCGGTGGCAGGGGGTGTTGCCACACAGTAACAGGTTTTTCGATGATTAATACAAAGCAATCCATTCATAAATAAAAATAAAAAAAGACTTTTATCAATTTTTTAAAATAGTAAATCAACTCCAAAAACTCTAAAATTATTTCTCAATCATTATACGAATTTTTTCTAATTTATAATTATATCAAATCTTGAAAATACTCATTATACATGGTCGAAGTCCTTAATTGTAACTTTACAAAATATACTTATCCAAAAGAAATAAGATTTCTGGGCCAAACTGTCAAAATTAAAATAATTGAGATGAAACAACCGACAGGAAAAACTATAGTAGTCGAACTTGAAATTATTACCTCACCAGAGTGTCGCCGCCGGCGACCAAACCCAGTATTTTGGCGATGCTCGATTTGCTCAAATATGGATTCAAATCGAACTCACCCCTTAGGGGAAAGGCTACCCACCTCTAAACAAACCCGATGACGCCTTTCTTGTGCTTCGATTTGTCCACAAACGCCAAAATTGAAATCAAGTTTGCCCCCTCCGGTGAGTTTCGATCGGAAAGGGAAAACGCTCAAATTAGGGATCGAAACTTAGGGAAAGCCATCTAGATAGTTTGGTGGTCAGATTCTGGTGATGATGTCGGGACCTAAAAACCCCAAAATTGAAAGAGGTTTAGCCCGATTTGACAGTCAAAACCTTGGGGGAAACTCAGCTGCACACTAAATGAGGGTTACCTAATCGGAGATTGGACTCGAAGTGGTCGGAACAAGAGAATTGGGTTTTTGGGCTCGACGAAAAACGTGATTGCAATAGCCTGGTTTTCCCTTTCGAAATTGGGTTTTTTCGGCTGCGTTTGGTCCGAAACTCAATTGGGAATTATAACATGATTTTTCTTCTCGTAGAAACAAAAATCAGGCCCTAACACTCCCTTAATCGACATGAGAGTGACGTGGAAAAACCTACCTATAAACCCGAAAATTATGTTTCCAGAAAACATAATTGAGATGCCAACTTTGCAGAAAATTCAAATGTCTGTAACTTACTCATTTTACGTCAAAACTCGACACCGTTTGAACTGAGATTTTAAATTTTGAGTAGTCATAAATATTACGGTAAAATTTGAAAAATTTACCAAAGCCATTATGATAATTTTGGCTTAATAAAAGGATGGGGTGTAACAAAAAAAAAAACATGCGAATGCATCCCCACACTTACAAGACATATTGTCCTTAATATGAGAGTTCTAGGTTAGGTTCATGAATGGTTACCATCATGGTTGAGTGGGTTGATTGAAAGGTTGCTCAATGTGTAGGTCTTCTTTGATGTAGAGATTTGTCATTTAAGCACACAAGATAGAGGGCTCAAGATAGGGTGCATAACCACCCATCAATAACCAAATCTGGACCCTTTATTTAGAAAATTCAGACCTAAGGAAGGATAATTAAAGACCATTTTTATTTTTTCTAGTTTTCTCAATTGACGCATATCTTTTTCAACGGCAAAAACCTATTGCAACGGCTTGCTTACGACAGGACCTTAGCTAAATCTTATATCAAGATAGACGTAGGTTAAAATCCTAATGACAACCAAGTTTCCTTCTTTTACATGGACAAGAAAACACGGGATTGGGAGAATAAGAAATTAATTACTTGGACTAAGTAATTAATATCCGCAAAACTATTGCACTAGCCTAACAAAAACTCTCCCTCTCCTCTCAGCGTCCAATTAACCCCTCAATAATCTACCCTCGAGTACTTCCCTCGCAATATGAGAAATTTTACAATGCTATATAGTATTGGTGCTATAGGTTTTTGCCTTTATGGTACAACTTAAAATTGTACATTTACGTTGTGATACAATTTTAGATTGTACCTATACTTTTTGTACATATTCTTTTATGGTACAACTTGAACTTGTACCTTTATGTGTCGGTACAACTTCAACTTGTAAAGTTGTACCATAACATAATGGTATAAATTGCTTTATGGTACAACCTAAACTTATACATTTAATGTTATGTTACAACTTTGGATTGTACATTAAAGCACCAATGCTATATAGCATAGTAGAAGTGCTCTCGCAATATATATAAACTTTTAGCTTGGAGCCCGGGCTTTGGCTAGTAGGCTTAAAAATAAAATAAAATAGTCAACTTTAGAACAACAAGGAGGGAACTCCTTTTAAGAGCTAGACCTATTATATTAGACCTAAAAATGAAAATTTTCCATCAGGCTCCTTATGCTATGGTCAATATGGCTGGATTAAACAACGATGTCAACGTTGCAGTTAGCTTTCGGGTTCAAGAAGAAAACAAAGTTGGCTGATAAGAGCAAATGTTGTTCAGTAACAGATCCAATAGCAACAGTACGTTGACGACCCAAGAACAAATAATGAACTACTATTTGGCTCAAGTTGGCTGTTGAAACTACCAAAAAATTATGGAATGCCAGAGCTTTGCTGGTAAACAAGTACATGCTGATGGGTTCTGAATTCTAACATTATATCAGCCTCTTTTTTTTCCACACCATCCTTTGGCCGAGGGCTGAGCCAATCCCATTTTCAATTCACAAAATCGGAACTTCTCTCCAAGCAACTGTATGTGTTTAAGTCCAGGCCAAACCTTGGCTTGTAGTTTCTGCAGCCAAATAAGGTAAAAAGAATGCCAAAGATCAAGAACTAACCCAACCTACTATATCTAGTTAGATCGTTTCATCAACAAGCCAATTTGCCCTCTAATCGTGCCGATTCAAGCTTTGGTAGCAGTTCAGAGACCACGTTTCTCAAAGTGGCATGGCTCGGAGAATTGCTGCTTCCATTTAAGGCCATGTTTGAGAGAAACGTGACCTCATCGTCCGTTTTGACATTCCTTACAAGCAACTCCTTCCAAAATGCATCATCCTCCTGGATGTTTGATTCTCTTAGAATGTCAATTACCCGCTCCAAGGTAGCAACGTGACGACCAGCACCGCAGCCCATAGCAGTTGCAGCGCCCACAGCGTTGGCAATGGCCAAGGTATTTACAAATGGCAGATTGTGTATATAACCAAATGCCACAGCAGCGACGAAGCTATCTCCACAACCGACTGTGTCCATGACATCGACCTGTCCATAGTTTCTATTTATAAGTTTCTGCACTACCAACATTATACAAATTCATAAACGAAGAGCATGAACAACAGAACATACTTGTCAAATTCCTTGATCTATGCTATAGGTAAGAGATATGGAAGATGCTATCATTGCAAATATCGAAAAGAAAAAAAGCGATAGATTGCAAGAAACAATCCAAATTGTCAAACCTAATCAGTGTAAGTAGAGCTGGAAATTTGGTACCGGTATTTGAGATATACCGAATACCGTACCGAATTTGTCTATATTTGGTATTACCGAATACACGTATTATTTCTTGGGATTAGGATTGAGATTCTCATGGGTCGTTTGCTTGGATTTGGGTCATGGATTTGGTACCCAAATCCCAAACTTGATGGATTTAACATAAGTCCATTGTTTGTTGAAGGGTGCTAGACCCCACGGACTTGTAAATCCCACATATTGATTTGAGATTTGCAAATCCTTGATGGTTAGTTATTTATTTAACAAATCCATCATCAAATCTATCATACAAACATTAGACTCTTCAAATCCATAATCCAATAAATCCAACATAAATCCCAAGGCTTTTATTGACCAAAACCCTCATTTTTCAAATCAAGCAAACAAATTTCAATTGTCATTCGGTATTAGGGATTAAGGGATTGGGATCGGTATATACCGAACAATACCAAATAAGCTAGTGTGTATTTTATCCTCTCAGCTAGACTCTCTCATTCACTACTACACTACCCTCAACCACCAATCTATTGTTATTTTCATAACATTAAAAAGCAAACACTAGTATTAGTCTTCTCTCAACCTCCAATTCGTCAGATTAAAGATTACCCATGACAAAAACTCGAGATGTCACCTCTACTCCATTCTTCTTATCCACATCCTAGCTCTAACCAAACTCAAAACTCTTTGTTTAGTCTCTTTGTCCTATATTAAACAATCAAATCTAATTTATATATTTAATTATTAATTTTAAAGGTAATTAATTTCGTATTCGATAATACCGATTGGGATACCGAAATATTTAGGGATTGGGATTGAGATACCGAAATTATTTAGGGATTGGGATTGATTCTAGAATGTAATTCGGGATTTCGGTATTTGGTATTGGGATACCGATACCGTACCGATTTCCACCCCTAAGTGTAAGGACTACAGTTTTCCTGGAAAATTCTGAAAATTTGATGTATTGCGAGCAAGCCATCAGTCAATTACTGCAAGCCTACGAAGGAACTTTACCTTAAATGCAGGCGCACAGGATATAGTTGATGCAGTGAGTAGAATTGATCCCTTCGAACCCATTTTTACGATCACCCATTTAGTCCGTACTCCATTCCGAAGCAACTCCTGTCCGGCCAATACTGGATCTCCTATGCCTGTTAATGACTCAGCCTGACAGATGGAGTCAATGATGCTAAGTTAGTACGCTAGTAACCTACTTTTCATACAAAGTTCAAATGCTGACAAGAACAGACGCTTAGTATTCTAGAAGCACATGAACAAATAAGATAATCGACTAAGCTAAAAAATAATATCATCATAATTAAACCAGTAAATTGACGAAATGGCAGGAACTGGAAACTGAAACATGATTAAAAAATGAAACGCAAAACCCATGACCTAATAATATTGGCAGTGAAACACACTCTGACATACAATGTGGAACCACATTACAAAGCAGGACCGGAACTGGATGTAGTTAGTTAATTGTTAAGACTAAGAGGCACTACTCAGAATTAGATAACAAAATTGAACCCAAACTTCTTAACTTTCTCCATACCAGTCTAGTATTTTGAGCATCAGCAATACACTCTCAACCCTCCACATGCAGCCTACTGTAATTTCTTATGAAAGATGACAAAGACAAATTGCAATCCCTGACTAATTTCATTGGCTCCAAAGTGTTCCACCCACATCCACCACAATGTTTATTTGGTATATTGCTTTTTCAGCGATAAGAACAGTTGAAAACCATAAGAAATCCCTCAATCATAAGGAAAAGTGACGATCCAGATACTGAAATAACACAGTGTTGACACTATAGACATCTCGCGCAAATGGAATAAAAGCATCAAACATACACATTCAATGCATCATGCATACACCTTGGAGACACTGGAGAAGTAGGACAATGTAAATCATACGAGTTCAAACCTGCTGTTCCAACATCAATGATTTAGACACAGTGGTGTTAATGCACGGAACTAAAACTAATTAAGAATTCCAAGCTTCCTGGTTAAGATGATTAAAAATAAGCATGAGGATTCAGAATGACGGGAAGACGATGTTCATGAGTGCTAATTCATAAAGCCTCTAGTTTCCGGACTACTAGGGATGAGAGAAAAGCAATAGTAACATAAGAAGCATTCAACAGATCATACCTCATCACTTGTCAGAAGTAGAACATCGCTCATCTTCAACAATTGCCTAAGTGCATGTTGTTCTTCCACCGTTCCATTCGAAAGGCTCCTTCCGCGTGGACCGGGATCAAAGAAAACAGAAGTCCCAACTTCAATAGCATAATCCAGAGCTGAGACAACCACACCAGGGGAGAATTCATCAAAGCCATAACCATTGCAGAAAAGAATCTTAGACTGACTAATAGCCATCTTTGCCGGCCCTGACAATTTGCTCATCCAGCTAAACGCTGGATCTTCACGAAAATCAGCTCGACTGAAAAATGAAGACCACAAAAAGGAATTAGGAAACCATTTCAAGTCACAACTTACAACCAATTTTGTCATATCCTTCTTGTCGTAGAAGATGAACACGCACAACAATTTACCTACAAAATCCATGTCTTTGAAGAGGATCAACCAGAACCCAACACAGAAGAGTCTCGTAGGCGGCACTTGAAGTGTCTACAGCATCACCGTCCTCAGTCATCTCAACCATCCTAATCCGCTCGTCTCGAAGCACATCCAAAAGGAACTGCCCATATATCTCACCCCCAATATGACCGATCGTGGCGCAGTGAAGGCCCAGCCTAGCAGCCGCTATAACCACATTGCAATTGCCACCAGCTTCCCAAAATCGCTACACAACAAGGGGAAAGCTGAGGAACATTTCATACAATTCCGATTCCGTAGCCGAAAAACAAAAAAAAGAACAGAAGAGAGCCGAAAACCTTATCCGGTGGAGAAGCGGAGAGGCGTTCCATATACGCGAGGCGAGCATCACGTTGGCGAGGGGGTAACTCGGGGACGTTCAGAACGATGTCGACGCAGAGATTTCCAAGAGTAGCGACGTCGACGACCTTGGGACCAAAGCTCCGGAGCTTCCCATGGGAGACAGCGGCGTCGTTCCTAAGAGAGGTTGAACAATGGGCAGATGAAGAAGAGAGGTCGGTGTCGCGGGAAGTGAGGCCAAAGGAGTGGATAGAATGGCCGGCGGCGGCGGCGGAAGGTGAATACGGCAATGGTGGGAGGGAGAGGAGCCTAGGGTTTGGAAGAAAAGGTGCATGACGAGGAGGAGAAGGGAGCAAGGATTTGAAGGATGGAGCTGGTGTAGTGAGGTGATGCATCCAAGTGGAAACTGAGGAGGAAGAAAGGTGTAGAGGAGAGGAGTGAGGTCGGAGGGAAGAAGAAAGGACTAAACTGCGGCGAAGAAGAAGCGGGACCGCAGAAGGGAAGGCAGGCAGATGGACAAGTTTGAGCGGATGAATTTTGGAAACTAAAAAATTTCTGATTTTTTTTTCCCGTGAATCCGAACAAAAACGGGGATAACAATATTTTCGCCCGGAAAGAGAACAAGTGGGGAAAATCAAAATGAATGCTGGGACTAGGAGTAGGATCTAATCCACCGCCGCCGAAACCGAATGGCGTCGGCATTCGGCACCTCCCGCCGCGGCGACATCTACGATTACCAGATTCTTGTTGGTGTGTCGAAAAGGATGTCAATGATGCATGTTTGGGATGAGTTATCTAAATTAGCTCGGTTTGGTCATGTGGTAGCTTTTGCAAAAATAGTTTTTGACTTGAGCTTTTAAAGAAGTACTTTTTAAAAAAAGGCAGTTGACTGTTTGATTGAAAAACTATTAAAAGTGTTTTTTAATATGAGAGATTACGGAAAATGACTATAAAGGACTTATAATATAAACTATGAATAATAATTCTAAACAATAAAATGTAGTCAAAATGGATCTTGTTAGACTTCTTTTATATTATATAATATGATTTTATAATTTAATTTATTTTAAAATGATATAAATGAAAGAAAATTATTTTCTGAAATAAAGTAAAAATATGGTAAGGATAATCTTGTATTTTCAAAACAGCTTTTCGCAGAAGCTCTAAATTGGAGCTTCTGCTTTTATGTTATACAAAAGCGCTTTTCACCTTTTCAAAAGCCGAACTTTTAGAGGTGTTTGGTCCTGCTTCAGCTTTTGAAACCGAAAAGCACTTCTAAAAGCTGGGCCAAACATAGGCATTATTTACATCTCATGCTGTGTGGGAGAAAGGTTTTGCAAACCCATCCTCATATCTGTGACCTGTGGGTTTCGGTTACCCATAGGTAATACCCGCTCTGTACACCCAACATCATTATATCTAAGACTTTACATGTAAATTTTCAATTGTAAGTTTGTAACGCTAAAGTGACCTATATCATTAAGTCAACAAAGATACAATCATTCTTAATACGGTTCAAATCGTATGATCCTAAACATCTATTAATCAATAAGATGGAGTATAATATTTTACAAATCATTAATTTCTAATTCTAATACATCTACTAATTAATATTAACTAACATAATTATCTTGTTAACAATAGGAAAAAGTGAGAATGAAGGGATAATTGACGTAAAAGAATTAGATTTGGATTTGAGTGGTCACTCAATTGCATTTCTACTATATATTATCTTAAGTTATCTTCGCCATCATAGATAGATTTCAATTTGATCCATGTATTTTTTTATGTCATAACCGGGGCGCTCAATTAGTATGATATTGTCCGCTTTGGGCCAAACTTGCACGGTTTTACTCTTGGGTGTCCTCCTTAAAAGGCCTCGTACTAATTGGGCTAGGTGGACACTATTATACAAAGGTTCCTTCCCTTGTATCTCCGATGTGGTACTTGGATTGTCTCATAACAATCCTCCCCTCAAGACAAGGACCACGAACTTTGTGTCCTCTCCTTAGCGATTATCTTGATCCGCCAGACGCCTTGTATCGATGGGCTTCTCGGTACAAGGACTTTACCAGACGAGAACTCTCTTTGATATGCTTCCCAAATGCGGAACTCTCTTTGATCCGCCAAGCCCAAACATGGATCTCTCATGGATCCACCAAATAGACGCGAATCACCTTTGACCCGCCAAACAAACGCAGATCTCAAACCCCGAGGTCACTGAATGGGGGTCCTACCAAAATGACGTCCACCGCCCCGGATCCGTCGAACTAGGCTCTGATACCACTTGTCACAAATCAGGCTGCTCCATTAGTACGATATTGTCCGCTTTGAGCCAAGCCCGCACGGTTTTTACTCTTGGGTGTCCTCCCCAAAAGGCCTCGTACTAATGAGCTTGGTGGACACTTATATACAAGGGTTCATTCCCTTGTATATCCGATGTGGTACTTGGATTGTCCCATAAAAATCCTCCCCTCAAGACAAGGACCACGAACATCGTGTCCTCCCCTCAGCGATTATCTTGATCAGCCAGATACCTTGTATTGATGGGTCTCTCGTTACAAGGATTTTTCCAGTTACGGGCATGGTTACGTTATTCTAGTTACACGGCCATACTACACGACAGTGTAAAATCAGATCTTGTCCGGTCACGGCCACCTAGCACGGTCGAGTAAAATCATGAGCAGGCCGCGTAAAATTCTCAGCTTTCCGTCGAACGTCCTAACTTCATCCAATTGACCCTGAACTCGTTCCCAAACCTTCATTCACGTTCTAGGACCTGAAATATCACCAATAAGAACAACCTAGCTGGAAATCGGTTTAAAACATGAGAAACGAGCCTCAAAGAATATAAGAATGGTGGACGAAAACATGTGCACATATCGAGTCATCAAATCCCCGCACACTTAACCGTTTGCTTGTCCCTAAGTAGGGATGACAATTTCGACCTGACCCGTTTTACCCGACCTGTTTGACCTGTTTTGGGGCGGGGCGGGGATGGGTACCTCTCATCGACCCGACCTGCCCTGACCCGCCCCATTCTTGACCCGTTCTTACCTAAATTACATGTAATCTTAGTCAAATTACTTAGGATTTTCCTTTTATTACCTCATATTTTAGCTATAATAAAGTTGTAAGTAAGTGAAAAACTCAATTTCTCCAATAATTTAACTACATTTTATCAATATATGGTTTGTTTCTTGGTATTTTAATGAAAATAACGAATATTTTTAATGTTTTTCATATAAATTACATACCCATTGAGTCGACCTGCCCTGACCCGCGCCCCATGACAAATTACCCGACCTGGACCCGACTTGCCACGAGGCGTGTATGGGCATCGAGATATCCGCCCCGGACCTGCCCCATTGCCATTCCTATCCCCAAGCAAACCTGGCTCAAACCAATGCAACTCTCTAGACCTCTATAGCAACATGCAACCTCGATCGTATGTAATGGACTTCCTAGATTACTTAGCAGCTTACGAGGTCAACCAGTTTTCTAAGACATTTCCTATTTCTCTCAATGCGAGTACTAGGCTCACACCAGGTTGATGCGAAGCACTGGACCTAGGACATACAATTCATGAACAAAGAAAATCACCTAACACAACAACCAAGAGTTGTTGGCAGTTATATTTGCTTTCGACAAGTTTCGGCCTTACCATGTGCTTTCGAAAGTCATTGTCTATAGTGACCACTCTGCCATCCGATTCTTGACGAGCAAGACGATGCCAAGCCCCGCTTGATCATATGGATCCTGATTCTGCAAGAGTTAGATGTGGAGATCAAATACAAGAAAGGAGTCGAGAACCTCGCGACAGACCACCTTTTCCGACTCGAAGGTCCTGGTGGAAGCAACTTCATAGGTTGATAAACAAGAGTACGTCACTTTCCCCGGACGAAAGGTTGTTCGTGCTTGTAGTAGTGGAGAGTGTCACCCCTTGTTTCGCCGACTTCACCAATTATTTGGTCGGAAAACAATTGCCAAAAGGGTTGAATACCAACGAGAAAAGGAGGTTCTTCGTCGATCCGATACTACTTCTGGGATGATCCTCACCTCTTTAGGATTGGAGCCGATGAGATCATTTGGAGATGTGTCCCGGAGAAAAAATGACGGATATTCTTAGCTAATGCCATGAAGGGCCAACAGGGGGCACTAGGAGGGGGGGGGGGGGCGCACTGCGAGGAAGGTGCTCCAATTGGGATTCTACTGGCCTTCGTTGTTCCGGGATGCTGATTCATTTGTGCAGCAATGCATCAGCTGCCAAAGGACAGGTGATATCTCCAACCGTAATGAGATGCCCGAAACGATTTCCATTACCTATGAGATTTTTGACATTTGGGGTATCGTTTTCATGGGTCATTTCCCCTCATCTTTTGGAAATAAGTACATTTTAGTGGTCATGGACTATGTCTCAAGGTGGGTTTAGACTCAAGATCTACCCACCAATGATACAAAACGAGTCCGTGGACTTCTCAATAATTTTTTTCCACGTTTTGGAACCCCAAGGCCCATCATTAGTGATCGAGGAACACACTTCTAAAGGCAATTTTATAAACTCCTCAATCGCTATGGTGTCACCCACCGGGTCTCCATGGCCTACCACCCTCAAATGAATGGTCAGGTAGAGATGTCAAATAGGGAATATTTTCAATTTTGTAACTTGATTATCAAGTTGAAGTGATTTTTAGTTTATGCATATAAACCTGACCCAACGGTTTGTATCTTCATGCACACAATACAAAGAAATGAATCCTATCAAACAATAAAAAGAAATAAGAGAGATTAGAATTGCATCAAGCAAAAAATGCGAAGACATTATTTTAATATTTTAATAAGTTTGCGTGGATTGTGGAAGTTAGGGAAAAAATTATTGATATAAAAAAATTGAAAGAAATAAAAGAGATTAGAATTGCATCGAGCAAAAAATGCAAAGGCATATTTACGAAAAAAATAACTGATGTAAAAAAAGAGAGAATGAGTTGTATTGTAGAAATAAATTATACCATTTTTAATTAGTGAGTGACGTAGAATTCTTTTCATTGATCATGTATCATGCTCACACATGACTAAACTATATATTTATATTTTGGTAATTTTATAGTGTAGGAAAATGTCACATAAATACATGAATGTGATAATGTACTTTACTTAGTAAGTTAGTATTTTCACTTCAAAATATTATTAACAACTAATTCAATACACATAAAAAATTATTTATTTAGTACTTAATTATTAGTATATTAATACATATGTTTATAGTAGTACATACAAAATGTTACATTGTTTGTGTGATAGAAACCCAAAGACGATTATCATTTGATTTCTCATATTTTTCAATTGAAAATGAATATAGTATAAAAATTCAATAAGTGTTTGGATTTGGATAATAACTGAATTTCATCTTTTCATTTATAATTTTTTTCAAATATTTTTAATTGTTTATCAAACATATTATGGAGAAAACTTGAAAATAGACATTCTCGTTACTTTAGCTAATATAAATTTAGGAGCAATATTTTCATAATTGAGTTGAAGATCAACCGATAAAGAAAGAAGATCACAACCACAAGTCGGGGTTTACCCCGTTTCATGACATGAGTAGTGATATTGTTGTGGTTGAAAGCATCAAATAGAATTTGTCCCATTGGTTGACACTCTAAATGATAACTGAAGACTCACAGGTTATAGGTTTGAGTCTTAGTGATGATGATTATAGATCTCTTTATCAGTTTTACCTTAGTGGACCATATAAATTTAAGAGAAAACTAAAATGATAAAATGTGACATGGAAAATTATTAAGTTTGTTGAATCGAACATGACAAAATGTTGTTTTAAAACAACCATAATATATGTTATTATAGAGATGGGTAGATTCATCATTTAATTGTTGAAATGAGTTAAATAAGGATTAATAAAGATAATTAATTTAAGTACCAATAATACAAAAGCAACAAATAAAAGAGAAAGCCAAAGACAATTAATTAAAAGGGAGACCTAAAACAACAAGAGAGCCACAAAAGAGCACATTCAACTTACTAACCGCATGCCATTTTCAATGTTTTTTTCTCTATTTGTAGCCTGTAGGTCCAATTTAACCCTCAAATCTCCTAAATATAACACTTTGACATTTTAGTACTCAATTGAATTTTTTTGCACTTTCGCATTTTGGCACGCCATTAGAGGTGGTCTTACTCTCTCTAATACTTGATGGGTTCATCTCGAGCATTCTCAAACATTGTATCAAACATCTTTGATATTCAAATCTTAATATGATTGACAAGCTAAATATGTTAGGAGGATTATTTGATGATGACCCACATGCAATTTTTCGCATATGCCCATTCTCATTCACCTTGTATTTCAAGAATCTTATATGTGTATCCTGTTCTTTTAAGAGCTCTATAGGCGACAAACCTTACTCTATTAATTGTGCCGTATTACCCCACTAAATTCGAGAAAAATTTAAGACTTTTTCTGAAATTTGTCCAATCTAGAAAAAACAAGATAACTGATCGAGTGTTCATGTTCTATTGTGCAAATTCCTGTTTGGATAATCTGAAATTGTGAATCCAACATCTAGAGGTTTCCCAATCCGTAATGCAAATCCAAACCCAACAAAGAAAAATGAAACCTTTTTTGGAGTAATCGTCAAAACGGTCAAGGACATGTCATTCATGAATCTCCTTGTTATTTTTTGTTTCCCCTTTTTCCATCTTTTCTCTTTCTTCTCCATATTTTACCCTGTCAAATTTTTTCATTCTCAGGGTCTGATCTTCAATGGCCTTCTACTAAAATCGTCATCTTTGATTCACATTGTCAGCCAGGTACTGTAATTATTACCCAAATTTGTTCTTTTTTCGTCCCCACAATTTGCAATGTGCTTGATGGTCTCAAGGCGTACCCTTTTGCATGTTCTTCCTTTCCTTTCTTTTTGGTTCTAACATGCTATTTAGTTTCTCGGCATTGTTTTCGAGTTTTGCAGATCCTGAGGATTTGTTAGGGTCTATTTGCTGAATTATATTTCAATCCATTGTAGGACATGAAATAATTTAATGATTGATTTTCTAGATTTAATTTAGAAAATGGTTTTGAGTTTGTTTTCTTATCCACATCAACAATAGTCTCATGCGTGGGTTCGATAGGGTATACCAATTCTTTTCTTCATAATTTGATCGAGAATGTGACAACGGTGGAACTTGTTGCTAGTGAATTCTAAGAGTTGTGAGGGGTTAGTGTTGCTTTAGCATTCAATTTGGAATAAAAAGTGTTCAATAATTAAAATCATTTAGATTTGTGATGGTTCTGTGTCACAGATAATAGAGAAAATGGATAGTCCAGATTACAATTAGTAAGAGTTGGTTTGCAGTATATTCTATGTTGCGTTTTTTCTTGTAATATGTATGTTTCACTAAGTTGATCGTGTACTCCTCTAACTATTTTGGTTATATCTTTTCTGTCAGCCATTTGCTTGATTGAGACCCCCAAATGGTGATCTTACATTAGTATAATTTTACCGGTGGGAATGGCTTCAAAAACCTCCTCATTTGCTCCAGCAAGGAGGACATTGACGGGATTCACATATGCTCTGAGATCAGCAGCTTTTGAATGGCTTCTAATTTTCTTGCTACTTCTGGATGCAGTGTTTGCCTATCTCCTGACCCGATTTTCACGTTATTGTAGGCTACAAGTACCATGCCTCTTTTGTTCACGGCTAGATCACATATTAGGCAATGAAAAACCTGGGTTTTATAGGGATCTCATTTGCACATCCCACAAGGCTGAAATGTCATGCTTGATTTTCTGCCATAACCATGGTAAGCTTGTTGATGGTCGTGCTATGTGCGACGATTGTCTGTTGTCATACTCATCAATGCTTAAAGAAAAATCTGAGATGCAAAGGGTTGTGGTGGGTAACCTTGGGTTTGATTTAGGCTCTAATGGTCCCCCTAACTTGTTCACAAACAAGGATCTCCTTCCTGGTTCAGTTGCCACCAAGTTATGTTCATGTTGCCGTAAGCCTTGGAGGTCAAGGCAGAGAACAGACAGAATCCGGAGACTAAAATCACCTAGAAGTGCTGCCATCTGCAAGCCAAACATTCCTTTACCACACCGTTTGACACAACAAGAGAGCTTGAGGAAGATAAGAGAGAAGTTCTCTGGGTCTTTAACTCCTTGCCGACTCGGGAATATGGGATTTGATTCTTTATCCCATGTGGGCTACACAGAGCTCAAGTTCAATTCTGACACCGAGTCTGAATTCCAGTATTCTGATGATGATGAGTACCATAACTATGGTCAAGAAGTGGATGAGCCTCCTACGGAAGAAGAAGAAGAAGAAGAAAAACCTACAACTCGTAGTGATTCTGATAAACATGTTGACAATGAGATGGATCAACAATCACGGGTACAAGGTATACAACCTTATGTTAAAAATCAAGGCGAGAGACAAGTATTGAAAGTTGAGAAGGGAAAAGGTCCTTCTGCAAGTCTAGAGTTTGTTTTACTTGAGGATCTTCATCCATCAAACATGACAGAGGTTCCTCCTATGACGAAACAAGCAAAAAATGAGCAAAACAATCCTTCTGTTCTTACTACTGATTCTTCTGTATTAACAGAACTCATGGCTCTTGTTGACTCTCCTTCGGGTTTAGCTGTTCTAAAAGATCATTTTGAGGCATCAAAAGTGAAAGGTAATGGTCTTCTTTTTTATCTCTTTTGCTTAGTCTTTCGACCACTTGTTATTGAAAGAGCATAAAAAAGTAACATAGAAAATCCTGTGACGGGATTGTTTGCAGGTTTGAATGAGATTGGAACAAAAGATGAATTCAAAAATAAGGAAAACGTTGTTGTGAAGCCAATAGTTGATGATGAAACAATAGGCACTCAAGTTGGTCAAGTTGCTTATGATGTGCCTTCTACAGAGGTAACTTCTTTGGAACATAGTGAAACACCAAAGGCTAGTAGGATCACTATCCAAGAAAAGGAAGCACCAAAGTTTATGGTAGAAAACCTTGGAAAGAGAGAAGTTGACGAGGATTTGAAGCCATCCTCCTCCAGAGAAAGTTTTGCATCGTCAAACAACGTTAATGTTTCTGACATTCATGATAGTACCAAGACACCTGAACTAGTTTTCAAAGAGAAAGTTAATGATTCCACTCTAGAGCCCCTTGACGCAGTGATTGAGGGTGAAAACATAGATGACAGGTTAAAAAGACAAATAGAGCATGATAAGATCCTTATAAGTACATTGACAAAGGAATTAGATGAAGAGAGAAGTGCATCTGCAATTGCTGCAAACCAGGCAATGGCGATGATCACAAGGTTGCAAGAGGAGAAAGCAGCACTGCACATGGAAGCCTTGCAGTACCTACGAATGATGGAAGAGCAAGCTGAATACGATGGCGAGGAGCTGGAGAAAACAAATGATCTCCTGGCTGAAAGGGAGAAGGAACTGCAAGATTTAGAGGCAGAGTTAGAGTATTTCAGGATAAAATATGGAGACGAAGATATAGGGGAGAATCAGAACATGCCGAATATTGTAATGTCTAGTATGAGTAGGGATGATAACATGAACATGGTAGGAGAGAATGCTGCTACTAGCTCTAGCTATGCAGAGCATGAGGTTAGTGAGCACCACTCTGGAGAGCTCCCAAATGGAAGTGAGAAAGGAGACATATTCACAAAATCTTCATGGCCAGACATTGAAGATGAGAAGTCATTCATTTTCCAGCGGTTGAAGGGCTTAGAGAGGAAGCTGCAGAAATTGTCTCATGGTGCTGCTGCATCACCTTACATGTCTGACAATGAGTATTCTGAAGAAACAACAGATAGAGGAGGAGTAGGTACAGGGGAATTTCTTGTACATGAAGAGCCTGATAGGAAATCAGTTAGCAAAGGTAAAACTGTTGTTGGCAGCCTGGTCATGAATGGACAAAGAACTTCTTCCAATCCACTCCATGAAACTGATTTGACCACACTCAAGAATGAGATTAGTGACCTAAACGAAAGGTTGGAATCACTTGAAACGGATTGGAGTTTCCTTGAGCATACATTCAACTCCCTTGAGAGTGGAAAGGAAGGGGTGCAGTTTGTTCAAGAAATAGCGCATCGACTTCAGGATTTGCGCAAGATTGGGATGCAGAGTAGAAAACAATCCGTTCCTTGTTAATGAGCATTGATCGATCATTATTTCATTGCAAGGTATGGAAATATTTCCATAGAATATTTCATACTAAAAATTGTCATGAGAAACTACGATAACATGATATTCTTAACAAATGACAAACTAATAACTTGATATTCTCTTTGTTGTCCTACTAATCGCCAACCACTAAGAAAATTGGTGTTTTATGTTCATGTAACCACTTACCTTTTTTCTTCTTTGTTTTGAGACAACATATGGTGTAATGGAGACATCGATACGATCATACATACACTGAAGAGACAAAAACATATTTGGATTTTTTTTTCAGTCCTATGTTTCTCTTTGCTCTATAGGGTTTGCTTTATAAATTTATCAATTGAATGACTATTATATTTTTTGGTTGGCTTCCTAGTTGAAAAAATTCAATTCTTTTGTAAATAAATTCAGTTTCTTGGCCAGAGATGCATGGTATCTATTAAGCATACATAAAGTTGAAAAGGTAAAATTCTCGTGTTAGGTGCAATGAAGTTTATTAAGCTTACCCGAATGAACAAATTTATGATACATGTAGACCTATTTTGATTTTTTACGTGTTATTGATGGAGGTCTTTAGAGGGAAGTGTCTAACCTAAGATTCAAACATGGAATCTCTAAGTTGAAAACCAATGGTTGAATCACTATACCATGGGTCTCCCCGCAATTTTTTTTTTCAATTTAAGATATGCGTCAATAATGCTTTATATTTTTTCATTTTCGGGTGAATGTGCGCCAGTGATTGGAATAGTTCCAGCTCAAAGAAAAATGCGAAACAACTTCCAGAATTAAAAGAAGATGATATATTGCGGGTAATGTGAGCCTAAATAACTTCTTCATTGACACAAAACATACATAATTCCTCTTCTTATGCACCATATTTCTTTTTTCTAGGGTTTGTTCAAATGGTTACCATTGTAATTACCAAATCAAACAAGCTTGTATTCTATTAATCATGAAATACAATATCATAATCAAACCGTCCAAACTAATACAACAACCAAATTAACCAAACTAAAATTTAATAAATTTGATTAATTGGTTAACCAAATTAACCATTATAATATCACATTTTTATTAAGTGAGAAATATTTTCGATTAATACATCAATTCTTCGAATACCAAAATAATTATATTTATTCACATCTAAGCCCATGACCCGACACATTTTGATTTCTGATTTTCTGCTAACTTTGATTTTCAATTTTTCCCCTTTTTTTGCCCCCTTTATTGGTTTCACAGCTTCCCCCTCTTCTTACCGGCGGTCGACGTCCCCGGCTTAAGGGGGGTAAAAACACAACCGCATAATATCACCAAAAATGAAACCCTAGACCTTCAGATCCACCCCGAATCCTAATTCCTCCTCCTTCAGAGCATCGTTAAAGCGTAGAGCTCCTCATTTGGAAGCGAAGGTATATTCGTTTGAGTTCTGTCAATTACGGAAGTGGAAGTGGAGAGTTCAATTACTTGCTTTGTGGGTGTTTTTGAATTCAACTGATAGCCCTATCAACTCGCCGCTACGGATTTACTTAAGAAACTTAGAAATTTTCTGGAGACGTCAGCCGGGGAAAGCGCCAAAGAGGAAAGAACAAAATATATGGGTGACCAATTCTGGTCTAATAGCGATGAGAGAGCTATGGTGGAGTCTGTATTGGGTAGTGAGGCTTGTGAGTTCTTAATTTCCTCGGCTTCCAGAGCTTCGTCTGCGGAATTGGCTACCGCACCCGGCAATCTGCGGTTGCAGCAGGGTTTGCGCCAACTTGTGGAAGGCTCTGAGTGGAACTATGCTATCTTCTGGCATGCCTGTGGTTTAAAATCTGGTGGGTTTGTGCTGGCCTGGTGGGATGGGATTTGCCGCGATCCGAAAAGCGGGGTTATTCCTGGAGAAGATAAATCTGGTGGTGGTGATTTGGAAGGAGGGGAGAAGAGGGAAGAGTTGACTAAGCGTGTGCTTCAGAAGCTGCATTCACTCTTTAGGAGAACTGGTGAGGGTACTTACGTAGGTAGCTTGGGTGAGATTTCTCAGGTCGAAATGTTTTACCTCACATCAATGATTCAATGTACTTTCGATTCTGGTCTGATTCTGCAGTGGGTCATGGTCCTCTGGAATCATATAGGTCTGACAGAACCATCTGGGTTTCCGATAGGGCTAATTGTTTGAAACATTATCAGTTGAGATCCCATCTTGCTGGAGCTGCTGGGTTCCAGACAGTGGTGTTTGTACCAGTTAAATCTGGCGTTTTAGAAATCGGTTCAATCAAGCAAACCCACGAGTCTGGTCTTGTGAAGAAGGCAAGGACCATACTTGGAAAATGTAACGAGTCCTCCCACTTGAAGGCATGTCCCAAGATATTTGGCCATGAGTTAAGCCTAGGTGGTTCAATGCCAAGGTCTATGAGCATCAGTTTTACTCCTAAGGTTGAAGAGGAATTGGTTTTCAATTCAGAGTCATATAACATTCAACAGTTGAGTACAGGTCAAATTTATGGAAGTACATCGAATGGCTGCCCCGGCGAAAGCAGTGAGGCGAAATTATTTCCTCATATGAACCAAGTGCTTGTTCCTGCTAAAGGTGCTGATTTCGTGATCGCTGGATCGGAGCAGGGCAAAGATGACTTGTCACCTTTGGGTGATGAGCCGAAGCCTAGAAAGAGAGGAAGGAAGCCTGCCAATGGGAGAGAAGAGCCGTTGAATCATGTTGAAGCAGAGAGGCAGAGGAGGGAGAAGCTTAATCAGAAGTTCTATGCTCTCAGGGCTGTTGTTCCAAATATCTCTAAGATGGATAAAACATCTCTTCTTGGCGACGCCATTACCTATATCAATGGCCTCCATATGTTAAGGTTATGGAAGCTGAGGCAGGGATGGGAAGCAACAAGCATAGTATGGTAAACCCAGAGATCGATTTCCAGCAGAGGCAGGATGATGCAATCGTGAGGGTGAGTTCTTCTCTGGCCGATCACCCTGTTGGTAGAATCATTGAAAAGTTCAGGGAACATCAAGTTGCAGCCCAAGAATGTAATGTATCCTCATCCGAAGACGGTAGGATTGTTCATACATTTTCAGTCCGGACTCAGAGCGGAGTTGCTGAGCAGCTAAAGCAGAAACTGGAAAGGTGCCTTTTCCAATGGGTAATACTGTAAAAGATCGGTGTAGAATATCTTAGTCCGACAGACGGACCCCTGCATTTACTGGAAAGGAAATGAATTTATTGCCTTGCTTTCCTACTGCCCAAGCCATGTATTCACAGTTATCAGCAGTGACGGTGGATATGTGTACTCTCTAATCTTGTTATTGTTGACCTTTGATTAGCTGCAAATAGGAATCATGTTTATGCTCTTATAGTTTGATGTAAATGTTTCAGTTTTGTAAGCTCTCTGAATCAGAAAACTTGATATGCTTTGCTTCGTTGAACCAGGTGAAATCCGGAGACCACACGATCAAAACTCCGATGTGGTTTACTGTGTTGTACTGTTGTTACTTCCTGGGACATCAAGGGGTTATAAAAATGAACATTTTCTGGGAGCTGTTAGGTTGTTTTTTGTGGGCTTCATTTGGGAGCAAGTGTGACAGGAACGGAAAGCGTTATGACTCGATATGATGTGTTGATGGCGCTTTTTTTTTTTTTTTTTTTTTAAATTGGACTATCTTTATGGTCAATAACCACGCATAACTCAACCAGAATTTGCCACATGAACACTCCTTTTTCTTTTGAATTATTTTAAATATTTTTTCTTTTAATTTTTAATGGACGATTTTTCTCTCGTTTTTATTTGGAATTTAATTTTTTTACACAGACAAATCAGATTAATTTTGCTCTTTAAAATGATATTGACTTTGATATATTTTTGGAAAAAGAATTGAGCCATTTTTCACCAGTGTATACCATGGTGTTATTGTTTGACATTAAAATAAGAGCATAACATATGATATGAACAGCGTACCATGGTGGTATGAACATACCAAGATTATAGGATGGTTGAATACATGATAGTAGTAGTATACTAACTATCATTTACGATTTTCAGCATTGTGTACCACAAGCAATGCAGTCAAAAACGCGATTCTACCTAGAAGCGGAAAATGGTTAAAATCGTAAAGCGTAGAATCAAAGCGTAAAAGCGTAAGTTTTTTACGCATACTGAAAAAATAACGGAAAATGTATTAAGTAGGACATATGCTATGCAAAATATGAATGCACATAATTTAGATAAGTCAATAAATACATGCGATTCATGCCTAAAGTAGAACAACTTATAGCCTCTTAATAATAAGTTTGTAAACATAAATTTTAACAATAAGCCACTTTTCCCACTATGCTAATGAATTTGGGAAAAGCCTAACGGGTAAATTAGATTACTCTATCGAAGTTGAGAATGCATCCAAGTACCTTATATGTATCTTTTAATCTCAAATGTATCATATTGTTGGTGATTTACTTTTAAAATATACTTTTCATAATTAATTTCATGAAAAGAATACTCATTTATTGAACTAAAAGCGTAAAAACGTAAAGCGTTTTGGAGAACTAGAAGCGTAAAACCGTAAGCTTTTAAGCTTTAAAGCGCAATTTAGTTCGATTTTATACACTTAAGTTTTTATATGGAAACGAAAGCGTTTTGGTGACATAAATCTGTAAAATCGTAAGTTTTTAAGTTTTAAAGCGCGATTTTGACTGCATTGACCACAAGATACCACGCCCATAACAGAGTGGTATTTTTTGGTCCTCTATTTTTTACACCAAATTTATTTTAGATCCAATAAATCATGATTAACTTGTTCTTTCTGTGCAAAATTTTTTAAAATCGACTTGAAAACGAAAGAAATACCATATGGTATGGAGTTTGTAACGAGAGATATGAATTTTTTTTTCTCAAGAAATATTGAAAATGGATCTCATTTTGTAGAACACAACAAGCTCGTTCTATTTGTGCAAAAAATTGAATTCTGAGTTAGAACGAAGAAGATAAGAGCCGACTAAGAAAACTAGGAAAAATAAAGTGTCTTTAACTCTCAATTCGTAGATCTGAATTTGGTGGGCCCACTAAAAAAAATGTCCAGATTTAGTTATTCAAGGGTGCATAATAGGGATGGCAATGGGTCGGGTTGGGGCGGGTTTTGTCAAACTCAAACCCAAACCCATGGGTTTATCCGCCAAAAAAATCCGGGATAAAACCCGTTGGGTTTGAAAAACTCAAACCCAACCCAACCCGCAGGGTATCCGCGGGTTCATGGGTACCCGTCGGTTTTTGTGGTAAAAATTTACAATAACAAGTTTCTTTCAAAATAAAAGTTTAACATCAATTTTCTCATATAAATTAATCATACAAAAAACACCAATCTAGAGCATACAAACAAACCGCAAATGATCAATACAAATTGTTCAAAATTAAAGATAAACATATATAAACAATAAGATTACTTGAAAGCTTCTTCCTCGTCAACTAAGTTTCTTCACTCTCCTCTTCATAATATCAACTTCATTCTAAACAATTAGAAAGAACAAATTATATATGTCTCCAGAAACATATAGAATATTAGTTGTTTAAGGAAGATATATTATTTAGAATATTACTGGGAAAGTAATTATATGTGTGTGAGCGGATACCCATGGGCGCGGGTTTACCTAAACCCAAACCCAATCCGACCCGGTGAACAGTGTAGCGGGTTTTACCCGTGTTGACCGGATTGGGTCGGATGGGTACCCGTGAGTTCGGGTTTTGTTACCATCCCTAGTGCATAACCCTTCTTGAGCCCTCTTTCCATTCCCTATCTAATATATCTATTTTTATAATTATTCCTAACTAGGTGGCCCGTGGCCGCGTCTTGCAGCGGCGTTAAATGGGCTTCTAGTTTGTTGTTTACAGGCCCATGGAGGGGTTGATGGTGCTTCAGTGGTGAGCAAAGAGCCAGGGAGGCCTAATTGGAGCTTGGTGCCTTCCATATTGAGATCTTGACAAAACCTCGATGGTTTCTCGACTCAGTAGAGAAACTACAACATGAATTAGGAGAATTGGATTGGAGGGCAGACTCGATTTTTCTGATA